GTCAATGGCACCGCAGCCACCCCCCGCTCCCACAGTGCGATCACCCACACCAAAATGCTTGGACCGGAACGCAGGCGTTGATGTGCCACACGTTCTGGTGTGGGCGATCACACTGCGGGTGAGGGGCTGTGGTGTCATTGAATGCACCGCCACGCCGTAGAACACTAAAGCGATCCAATGTGTTCCAGCAGCTATTCGTGCTGGAACGCACTGGAAGTGATGTGAACCGGCCCTTATAGAAGAAAATAAACTCAGGTGTGAACAGGGGCCATAAAAATGAATGGGATTCCTTGTCCTAAACGCTTTGTCGCGCTAAGCATTTGAGCAACAAAATGCCTTAAAAACGGGACTTAAAGCTGCAGATTTGTAAATACTGAAAAGTTACTTTTGAAGTGACATGAACATGTTCGATCTTATATGACATTTCACTGACCAGGTTCACATATACTTTAAAGAAGAATGCCAGGAATTTTTTTTATTAACCCTTACTGTGGGATTACTCCCGCACTGCAAGGGTTAAGTGCTCATTTTTGTCTAGGTTTAAAAAAAAAATTATACTCCCCAGATGATCCGAGTTGGCTTGTTCTTAGGCCGGCCTCTGGAGCGTCTCTCCCCCTCTGCTGCAGCGGTCTAAGGATCCTGGTGTCATCACGCTCTATACACTGTGCATAGACTGTGAATAGAGGACACGGAGAAGCATTCCATCTGTGCATCGGAGGGGGAGACACACTTCAGTGATCACAGAAGCAGGGAGCAGGCTCAGATGGTGTGGTGAGTATAACTTTTTTTCAGCGGCTACAGAAAAAGGAACACTTAACCCTTGCAGAACCAGAGTTCTTCATTATAGACATGAGATGGCTGTAACTGCCAGCCGAGATATTTCAGGGCAAATGACAGACAGTTGGGCAGATTGGAATCCTGCTATTTTTCCCCAAGTTAATCTGGCACCAGAGGCTTCTGTGTTCGTCTCCCTATGTCTTCCTCCATAGGCCTTAAACAATACATTACAGAGCGCCGTGACACCCCACTGTGGTCACCACCGAGTGTCCTCGATTACCCGTCCTCAGCAATGCTACATCATTGTAACTCCATGTACAAGAGAAACATTTGTAATCTATTTATGTACTTTATACATTTGTGTATGTAAATATATATAATTAGTACACATACAGTATACATACCTTGTACACAGGGGCGTAACTACAGATCATGGGCCACATTGTAAAATTTTGATTGCCCCCCCTCTTCCCGGTGACCACTTAAAATCTAACTCAAGGACAGGTAGCAGGGAGGCTGTCTGCGTAGTCTCCTCCTGTACATCCAATGTCAGCTCTTCAATCGAAATGTCCATAGGGAGTATTGGGTCAACAGCAACTTCTGCAATCCTTAATGGGCCCCATAGGCGCGCAGCCTATTGCATTAGGACGTGCACACAAAATATATATATCGCATATATACACAGACCTGCTTCCTGATTGGATGGGAAGCTGCAGCCACGCTCCCTCACAGCTCCCCAGGCACCGAGAACTGCAGCTGTTATGTGAGGAATGTAAGTGGCAATTGCTACTGCGCTCTATTCAGTGGTGTATTTACAAATGCTGCTGCCCTAGGCCGCTCGGGGTTGACATTATGTGCCGCTGCCTCCCCATCAGCACAAGCCTCCATAGACAACCCCCTCCGGCGATCACTCACCCGGCATTCAAAGCGCCGCCGACCGCTGCCTGGACACCGCCGCAACCCGCCGCCCTCGTCCCCACCGCTACGATAGCCTCCGGTTCTCTTCCTTTCATAAATAAAATTTATCAAGGGGAGAGAACTACAGCAATTGCCGCTCTCGGGGAATCTGCCGCTCCAGGCAAACGCCTTGTTTGCCTCGCGGCAGATACGCCCCTGTGTGGAGAGGAGTCCCTGTGTGAGCTAGTAGTTAAGAGTACCTGTACCCCTGTATGTTGCGGTCTCTGAGGAAGGTATTTAATTGAGTTTTGAATGATTCAATACTCTCTGCTGATACCACTGCTTGTGGCAGCGAGTTCCAGATTTCAGCCACTCTAACTGAAAAGCCCCTACGTCCCTTGTGGTTAAATCTTTTTTCTACCAATTTTCGGTGGTGGCCTCTAGTCCTTGTTAGGGAGTTTATAGTAAAACGTTTATTGCGGATGTTGCTATCCCCATTGAACATTTTGTACATCAAAATCCTGTCCCCTCTTAATCTCCTCACTTCCAGCGTGAACAAGTGTAAATTTAGTAACCTTGTCTCATAGCTTTGGTCCTCCTGCCCCTTAATTAGCTTAGTTGCTCTTCTCTGGACTCTCCAGCTCCAGGACATCTTTTCTGTGGATTGGTGACCAAAACTGGACCACATACTCCAGATGAGGCCGAACCAGTGATCTATAAAGTGGCACAATTATTGCTTTATCTCTACAGTACATTACCTTTTTATGTGACGTGATCAAGATTTTCTACATTTCCCCACCACCACTTGCCAGCTGCCTCTGTTTTGTTTAGAGTCCCGCTGAGCACCAGCACTATAGAGGATATCGGTAAACTTTACTAAAAGGTTTTCAAACTTCCTGCATAGTAAAGATCCATTGCCACCACATGTGTTGGGGCTGAGCTGGCTGTTTTTTGCAAACAAGATAAGGCAATTTGCCTTGTCACGGGTGGGAAGCGGTTAAAGGTGCCCATACACCTTGCGATTATCGTTTGGAAATCCAACACGATCAGGTTTTCATATGATAATTGGCCAGTTGATGGGAAGTGAACGATCACAATTACTGTGCTTTTGGCCGAATTTCCTCGATCGGTCAGGCTGGAAAATGTATTTCGAATTGTACGAAAATCGATGTATTATTAGCGTTTTCGTACGGAAAAAATCGCAGCAAGGACACTGCACATGCGCAAATGAAAATCTGTTCTGTCGATCAACAAAATTCAGTGAGTTACTATTGCTAACAAACGATTATCGAACTCGACATTGGTCTGGGCATGATGGGGCAATCTTGCGGAAATCGAACGAGGGCTCGATGACGGCAGGAAGGAAATCGAACGATAATTGCAGAGTGTATGGCCAGCTGAATACTGAGAAGCCCCCTTTATTGCTCTCAGACTGCCAGTGTCCCTAGTGCAGGGTGCTGTTAATGATCAACTTCATACCTCAAATTCTCTGTGCTCCTCTGCCTTTCTATTCATTGTTTAGAGCCCTTAGAAATACCGGGTATGAGCGAGCATTTGACCTCCTCCCGGGTCATATTTTACCTGAATTTCCTCCTAAAGTCCTCCTCAAAACACAAATAACACAAATAAAAATTGCACAGATTTAAATTATGATCATGTGATCTGAGTCTGAACTGTGATCCTCTTCATTAGAGATCACATGATACAGTGCCTAGGCCTGTAGATATGTGGCTCACACTGAATAGAACATACAGCAGCATTTTCCCCAGTAAGGCCTGAGGCAGAAGCATGTGCAATGCTGCTTGTGATACCGGATCACATGTTGCAATGTTGGGTGCAATGTAATGCCATTGTGTTTTGATGGCACCCCAATGCACCTAGCCATTACATGTGCGATGTATGTGGTTGATGTGGTGCAATGCGATTTTAAAAAAATGGTGCGCGCACTTCTTTCAGTGCAATTTAGCTGTGCAATGAATGGGCTGGGCTGCCCTACTGCTGCACATTTTCCTATTCTGAATAACTCTGGTTAAATGTAAAGTCCTGTTTTTTTCTGTTTCAGAGCTTCAAATGGCGGCGCAATGTGTGACCAAAGTGGAGCTGAGCATTTCCTGTGACAACCTTCTAGATAAAGATATTAGTTCCAAATCTGATCCTTTGTGTGCTTTCCTAATGAACACCAATGGCCAACAATGGTTTGAGGTATGTAATATGATTGCTATGGTGTATATTTTTATTAAACAGTATTTAATAGTATTTGTGCGGTCTATGTTGGGCTCTGCGGGGTCTATGCTGGGCTCTGCCTGGTCTATGGTGGACTGTGCAGGGTCTATGGTGGGCTCTGCAGTACTGAGCGGCGGAGTGATCTGTTCTTCGGCTCTGATGTCAGAGCCAGCAGGAGCAGAGGTGAAGAGAAGGAGACAGAGATGGAGCAGGCACGGGAACATGTTCTGGAAGTAGGTACTTTTTTTGGGGGGGGTGGGGGTGGGGCCCTTACAAAATTTTCCTATGGGGCCCTGTGATTTCTTATGCCCTTGATGAATACATTGTTTAGTCACATGCACAAGAGTAACTGTGATCATCGGGTTCTTGGTCACCTCTCCCCGATTACTCAGTTTGGCCAGGCAACCAGCTCTTGGAAGAGTCCTAGTTGTGCCAAACTTCTTCCATTTGAGAATTTAGGAAGCCACTGTGCTCTTGGGAACCTTTGTTGCAGCAGACATTTTTTTAAAGCCTTCCCCTGTACTTGCATTTAAAAATCAATATTTTAATTTTGCTCAAACATGAGTTTCCTTGAAAATGTCAAAAAATCTTTCTCGCTTGCTTCTTACATTTCGGTGTAATTAGCATGGAGTGGCCTAAGTACAATTTAGTTTAATGATGATTGGAATCTTGTTTTTTTCAGGTTGATCGCACAGAAAAGATTTCGAATTGTCTAAACCCGAGGTTTGCTAAGAAGTTCATGATTGACTACTACTTTGAAATAGTTCAGAAAGTGAAGTTTGGCATCTATGATATTGACAATAAAAGCTACGATCTGAGTGATGATGATTTCCTGGGAGAGCTTGAATGCACCCTGGGACAAGTAAGTGTATTTCCAGTTTCATGTTGGGGCAGAAACATTTGCAAGAGAATAACTGCGTGTCCCCGAGACAGGAAGGTACAGACAGCAATAAAAACCTGAAAGAGGTTCTAACCCTATCCCACTCTATATAAAATAATAAGAAACATATTGGCTGGAGTTTGGCTTTAGGGTTCTGCCCCACCCCAGCTACATCATGCCTACTGACATATTGTGGGAGATGCATTTTTTGCCTTGATTCATAGTTGCTCAGTTTTGACAAGTTAAAAATGAGTGGCTAACCATGGGCTCTGATTTGTTTTTTTTTAATTGTGTACACCATTGTTAGTAGCACAGTAATGGTTGTTTGAAGGAAATGGCATTGGGTATGGGGTTTAAGGTTGCCTGTATAGCACAGTATGGTGATGTGATCCTCTTCTTAACATATGGTATAAGGTATAGAGGGCGTTCCTGTGACCATTCTGCTCTGAGTTACAGAAAGTTCTTAAACACAGTCGTTACATATCTTCCCCTGCTGACATGTAAGCGCTGTTTACCGAGTTTGGGAACAGGTTGCTTTCTATTGGGTGGTGGCAAGGCACATGCTACTGGGATAGACTGGGATATGTGAAGTATAAAATAACCATTGACATATTACTACAGTTCAGCTTTAGAATTGCTGAAGGGGTTACACCCATGTTATTGACAGCTAATTTTTATTGATTATTAATACTTGCATTTCTGTTTTTGTTTTTAAGATCGTGTCTAGTAAGAAACTGACAAAACCACTTGTAATGAAAAATGGCAGACCAGCAGCCAAAGGAACAATAACGGTATAGTCATCCATCGTCATTTTTATTTGCTTTCATTTTGTTTGTGCTGATTTTACTTTGCCTAATGCCCTCTTATACCATGTTGTATTAAGCTGAAAGGAGAAATAAACTCTGACCTCTTTTAAAATATTAAACTCCATGAGACCATAATGTGTATGCATGCATACTTGCAAAACAGTGTTTTCTGTGGCTGTCCCAGATGTGAACCCCAGGTTCTCCATGAGTGGCTGGATGTGGCTGGATCTGTGCAGGCCATATAGCTCAGTGGTTTAAAGCTGGCCATACACCAGTAGAATTTGGTTTGAAAATGTTTTTTTCTGAACATTCGTTCGATTTTCTAATAGTTAATGAGGGAATTAAAGGATAACTATGAGGTGAGTGCTTTTCACTCACCTCATAAATCTAGCCGACCTGTGACAATGAAACTGTCACAGGTCGGCTCAGTAAATCGGGAGGTGAGCGAACACATACCGGCGTTCGCTCACCTCTCGATCCTGTCACGGCTCTCTGCCGTGACAGGGGAGGGGCTGGATTCCCCCCTCCCCGGTCCGATCCGCCAGCGCTGACTGACGGAACGGATGGGGGAGGGGGCGGGTACAGCTGGCTCTGCCTCTAGATAGGCAGAGCCAGCTGTCAGTCACGCAGCTGGGCGGATCCAGACATAATTGTTCGGATCCGCTTCAGCTGCGGCGTCTTAGTATACCGCGAGCAGCAGCTCGCGGTATACTGCGGCATCTCAGTAGCTCGCGGTATACTGAGCCTAGGGTGACGGGAGGACGCTAGTTTGTATCCACCCGTTACCCTAAGGAGAACTATGGGGAAAAGCCTTAACCCCATAGTTCTCCTTTTAAATTCTAACAGCGAATTAGGTTTTCGTTACGGAAACTCCATTCATTCCAAAAGTGAATGAAGTTCCAACATATGTCAAGTCTCTGATGACATTATCGAATGTTCTGAGAGAACTTTCCACACCTCCTTCATAGAATGATTGAACCACTGTCAGGTTGTTATTGATGTCTGTCTCCTGTTAGTAAGAGTGACTCTCTTTGACTCTCCTAATCAACAATGTCACCCGGAATGGGACAAATCCGAAATATTGAGTTGCCACCAGAACAGGAAAGGAGGGGAAATATTCTAATGGGGACACTTGTTCCCATGAAAACTGTCTAAGAGGGAATTTCCCTCACATTTTAAAGATATCCTCTCCTGTTGAGCCTACAGGACAGGAAGTGAGAGGATATCTTTGTGTATCTTAGTTTACTAAGGGAAATATGCCTAATGAGACATAGATGGAAAAAAATTACTGTAGTTTTAACACTCCCCTACTCTATTAAAAATAAAAAATTGGGAGTTAGTTTAAAAAAATTAATAAACTAATCAGTTGAAGGGAAGACCTGGGAGGAGACATATCACAGCAATGTGATTCATTTATGAAGACAGCTTTTGAATTGTACCTCTGCATTAGTAATGCGGTAGATTCCATTCATCCACATTACAAGAAATGCCCATTGAAATCCACATTAAAGATGCCGCATGCAACATTACATTGCCATTCAGAGCCAAGGTAAATAGTTCACTTAATAGCCTACCCCTTGTGCTGCAGATATTCTCCTTCTCTGTGCTCCCCCAGAGCCCTGTAAAATACCCTGTACTTTTAGACATGGGGAGCATGTGACTTACTCTTCTCTTCCTCCCACACTGCATTTTTTTGGTACTTACTGCCCAATTGCCAGGCCTCAGCACTGTCCCATGTGGGCAAAGCCTAGCCTTAGCCTTGTATTATGTCCAATCTGAAGTTGCACAGGCTCTAGCAAGTGCACAGGGTTGCTGTTTGTTTTGCCATTGAATTTTCCTAAAACACATAGGTGTTAATGTAACTTTGTGTATCTTGGTTCTTAGAAGGGAGCATATCTTTCACAACAATGCTTCAGTACTGGTTTCTACTTTTATTTTAGATATTTGCAGAAGAGGTTAAGGATAACAGAGTGGTACAGTTTGAAGCAGAAGCCAGAAAATTGGACAATAAGGTAAAAGGCGGATCTTTACTAATTATATTTGAGATCCTTGTAGCTTTCAGATTTTTGATCTTCCTGGTCAGTGGTCCATGTACAGTGGTCTTGTACAGTCTTGCTTCGAGTGTTTTTAACGTAATTAATGTGTTCAGAGTGTGGCAAGGAATGTACTATATTAAATGTATGGAAATTTTGCAGGATTTCTTTGGAAAGTCGGACCCTTACTTGGAATTTTACAGGCAGGCAGATGATGGAAGATGGCAGATGGTCCACAGAACAGAAGTAAGTGCATTTATAAGTAGTATGAGAGGTGCAATATAATAATGTGTCCCTAATGTTTTTTATGCTAATAGCATAGATGAATCAACTTTGATGTATATGCAGCAACTTTAACTAGTTACTTTTATAAATCTGCCACCATGCAGGGCACAAACTTTCAGTGTTTGTTTCTGAATGATAAGATTTAAAGGAGAACTATGGGGTCAGTGTTTTTCCCCATAGTTCTCCTTAGGGTAACGGGAGGGCACAAACTAGCATCCTCCCGTTACCCTAAGCTCAGTATACCGCGAGCTACAGCTCGCGGTATACTGAGACACCGCAGCCGGAGCGGATCCCGACATGGAGGTCGAGATCCGCCCAGCTGCGTGAGTGAAAGCTGGCTCTGCCTATCTAGAGGCAGAGCCAGCTGTACCCGCCCCCTCCCCGTCTGTTCCGCCAGTCAGCGCTTGCAGATCAGAGCGGGGAGAGAGGAATCCAGCCCCTCCCCCTGTCACGGCTGAGAGCCATGACAGGATCGAGAGGTGAGCGAACCCGGTATGTGTTCGCTCACCTCCCGATCTACTGAGCCGACCTGTGACAGTCTCATTGTCACAGGTCGGCTAGAACTATGAGGTGAGTGGAAATCACTCATCTCATAGTTCTCCTTTAAGCGTGTATGGCCACCTTCAGAGCTCAATGTATATCTACTGCCCGAGACCCAACACCACTAAATAATTTCAGTTAGCAGCTACATTTTGCATTTTTCTTATCCGTTTCCTTTTAAAGTGGACCTTATCTGATCTTAAAATTTCTCAGAGAGTAACTACAGTATGTTGACGTGCATGGACCTAGTGGTGTCTGCCAGTACCATTGTTAGTATTCAGATCAATGTCTGTGCCACTGCGAAATCCCCCTGCATCTCAGGTTCAGACTTTGCATGGTGCCTTCACTTCATCCCAAGTTACCAATAAATGCTGCTCCCTCCTGGCACTAAGCTCCGCACCCTGACCTTCAACATTCAAATGTCATAACTTTAGTAGACAGTAGACACTGTGGCATTTACCTGTTAAATGATCGAGTGTGTAGTTTGGAGGCAGGCTGAGTTGGGGCTTACTTTTAAGGTTAAGGGTCCATTTATAGCCTGGGCCTGGGATCTAAGCGGCTCCACAGAGACAAAGAGATTGATTTGAAGATTAAAGGAGAACTATGGGTTTAGGGCTTTTCCCCATAGTTCTCCTAAGGGTAACGGGAGGACACAAACTAGCGTCCTCCCGTCACCCAAAGCTCAGTATACCGCGAGCTACAGCTCGCAGCCTACTGAGACGCCGCAGCTGAAACGGATCCCAACAATTATGTCTGTATCCACCCAGCTGCATGAGTGACAGCTGGCTCTGCCTATCTAGAGGCAGAGCCAGCTGTACCCGCCCCCTCCCCCGTCCGTTCCGCCAGTCAGAGCTGGAGGATCGGACAGGGGAGGGGGGAATCCAGTCCCTCCCCTGTCACGGCTCTCTGCAGTGACAGGATCGAGAAGTGAGCGAGCGCCGGTATGTGTTCGCTCACTTCCCGACCTACTGAGCCGACCTGTGACAGTTTCATTGTCACAGGTCGGCTAGAACTATAAGGATGAGTGAAAATCACTCACCTCATAGTTCTCCTTTTAATACAGGTACCTGCAAACAACAAGATACCTGCACTAACACTGTTGTTACCTTAGAAATGATCTACAGCAGGCCAGGTTCACTTTATAGTGCTTGCTGGTTTCTAGATTGCTGTACTAAGCTCCTGAATTCTATATTAACCTGCCCAACCCATTAATCATTTACATTTTTATATTGTTCAATTATTTTTTTTATAGTTTATAATTTGATTCTAATCAATGAATGAATCGTATGCAATAGAATTTTTTTTTGCTGCACTCCATTCCATGTTCTGTATGTAGACCGTGGATAAATATTTTTTTTAAACTGTATATTTTTATTTAAATTTCAAAGTATACAATGAAAACAAAAGACAACAAACCTTTGAGACTGTAGATATTGTAATGTGCACAATTATTTTCCAGGTGGTTAAAAATAATCTGAATCCTGTTTGGAGACCCTTCAAAATACCACTACGGTCCCTTTGCAACGGGGACATGGAGAAGCCAATCCGGGTAAGAATATTTGTTAGTATTATACTTCTAAAAATTGTGCATATGTGCTTCTCAGAATATATAACCATCAGCTCTTCAGGACCGCTTGTCAAACTCTGGAGGAAATTTGTATGGTGCATATCTTTGATAGTAGCGAGGCACAGGAAAAGCATCCAATGCATCTGATATTTTCTTATAGCTTCATTAAAGGAAGCATGTCAAGAAAAAATGAGGAGGCTGCCTTTGCTGACATCTCCATCTGAAAATACCAGGTACCTGGCTGTTATGGTGATGCATAAGTTAAATACTTTCTCAGTCACTGACTTGGAAAAAAAGTGTGCAGATCAAGAGGTTGGGGGGATAGGGAGGCAGTTTATGACTATTTTAACCTAACAGCCAAGTAACTAGCGCTTTCAGGAGGTTGACAGTGGCAACCCACATTATTTATTTCTGACAGTTTTCTTTAGCAATATATACAATACAGAGTGAATTTGTATTACTTTTGTTTTGTGCAAAAAATGTCCCCATTTTCAAAGGAACTGGAAGAGAACAGAATAGTGCACAGTGTAAGAATTTATCTTCAAATTTTGAAGTCATACAGTATTTTAGAAGTTCAGGGACATCACAGACCTTAGAAGCAGAGCTCCTGCCTAAACTTTTTAGTTGTTTTGAAGAGAGTGGGAAAGGTTAGATTTTATTGTTTTTGTCCATGTTGGACACAAATTTCCCCTAAAGGTGCCCATACACCTTACAATTATCTGCAGATTTTCTGTGGTCAGATAAAAAAAGTGCAACAGATTGGCCCAGGTGGAGATTACTCCATCCACACAGTTAAGTGTAGATGGAGGAATCTGTTGCACCTTTTCCATCTGACCACAGAAAATCTGCAGATAATTGTAAGGCGTATGGCCAGCTTTACTTTCCGTCTTGCTGACCACTAATGACAACCCCTACAGCAATACAAACTTGACAAAGATTGCAGGGTGCTTGCGAGCAGCCAAGATGGAGGATGCATTCTAGGCAAGCTCTACACCACCCAAGCCCTTCTAAATCTACTTTCTGTTCCTCCATGTTCTTCCCATACTCCTTAGCTGCTGATGGGGAAAATCACAAAGCTTACTGTGTCTCTCCTTGCTAAGATTTTACTTCACTTCCTGCTATTGTGCATAACGTCACCAGTACAGGAAGTGAAGGGAATTATGCCAAAACAGGAACGCAGACAGAGCAAAAAACCTGACACACTTTTTGAACCTTCCCCAACTCTGTCTAAAATTATAAACGCTATTAAAGTCCCCCTTTAAATTGTTTTATCCTGTTTGTTTGACAGTAAAAGCATTTAAGTTGTCTGTTTTAACTTCAGTTCAGGATTGGTTTTATCCACCGGATGTGAATTGCATGTAACTGGATTATTATGTATTTACTGAAAAAGCTGAACGAAATCTGATTTGTGTGCTCAGATGTAAATGTGTCTTCTGTATGTGGAAGGGATAGCATAGTCAGGTTTATCTGTACCCTATATGTGCTGCTGTACTATAGTATTGTGCTTTTCTTGTTTGATGTTGTTTGTGGCCACGGTTTTCACTTACTAAATCTAAAAAAAAAAAGTGTGAAGGCAGCAAAATGCTATTTGCCTGGTTGCCTTTGGCTTTAGTACTTTGATTTTCTGATCTGCATGGTTGTTGCATATTAGAGTCTCGGAGTGAAGTTAAAACACCTAATCTGCATGCTTGTTCATGGATAGTGACTGAGACCACTGGATCAGCATAACAACCAGAAAACAAATATTTTAAAAGGGGAAACCAGCAATGGTAGCTTTCATACAGCTTTCCATTAAAACCTGACTCCAGGCAAAATAATCTTACTGCAGTCCAGTGAGTTGTAGACTTTGCTGTAAAGCCACCCGCCATATTCACAACACCCTTCTTCTCTCTGCAAATCATCAGGGATACATTCCGGTGGAAGTCCAGCTCCTGCTGAACTTCCATCTCCTAGACCTCAGTGCTAGATCTCCATTCCGCTCTCCTCCTGGCCAATCTGAAAGCAAACAACCCCAGACTCTGTTTTGTGATTGGGAAAAGGTAACGGACATGCAAGTACAGATGGAGCTGGACTTCCACCCCAATGTATACCTGATGGTTCGGGGGGCTAGGAAAGCAGTTTATGATTATAACAGGTGGCGTTTCAGAAAAGTCACTGTACAACTTGCTGAACTGCAGAAAGATTATTGTGTCCAGAGATGGGCTTTAATTGCATATGTAGAGTTGTCATATTGATTGTGTAGCTCCAAAGTTCTTTGCACATCTTGAAGTGACATTAAAAGCTGTTGGGGTGCTGCTAAGGAAGTAGTGTGACTTGATCTGTTTGTGATCTTTTCACTGCAGTTACCAACTTATCAATGATGATTACACTTTCTGGCATGGAGATAGTGTAGATGTCTTCTGTAATACCCTCAGATTTGAATAGGACATATTGACATTAAAATATAAGACAACCCGCGACTAAAGTATGAAAATCAAATTATAACCTCAAAATAAAACACAGAAACTGGTTTATAGTTTCACGTATAACCTTGTGCAGTTTGTTTATTTTATAAATGTAATGTTCCTGCTTGTCTTATACCACAAACAATTCACTGTCCAAGACATGACACGGAACAAATCCCTCTATTCAGTGTCTCATGCATGACTGCTTGTCTGATGTTACACTGAGCTCTAGTAGTGTCTGGTGTTTCTGGTCTCACGAGTCTGTAGAGACCAATTATGATTTACTTCATACTCGAAATTGTTAATAAAACAGTTTTGTGTTCTCTGATCAGGTCTGCACTCTTAGTCCTCCTCATTTGATTGTGTAATATAAATCCATGATCTTCACTTTGAACCATATGGGGTACATTTTTTAAATCTGTGCAGATAGACACAGAATAGATCAGGGGTGGGCAAGCAGTGGCCCTCCAGCTGTTGTGGAACTACAAATCCCATGAAGCATTGCAAGATTCTCACAGCCACAAACGCCCAGAGGCAGATTCATCATGAGATTTGCAGTTTCACCACAGCTAGAGGGCCAGAGTTTGCCCACCCCTGGTATAAATGATAAAAAAACAGCTAAGTTGCCATTATACAGCTAACTATAGCTATCATCTCCAGTGTACTGGTGATGCCGATTACATATAGTCGTATATGTGTGTTATAGAGCAAACCGAAAGCAAGCCGCAATTGTGTAACACCTTCTACTATAAAATAGCGGTACTCGAAAATGTTCTTTACAAACTAGTTTTATCATAAAAAATAACATCCAGGAAGAGAGCTGCTCAACCATCACTGCAAAGAAGAAATCCCTGTAGTAGATCCTCTTAGACAGCATGCAGCAGCTGACTCTAGCGTGAATCACCTCTGATGCGTTTCGAGTGCGGACCCTCTTCATTATGGCCCTGTTGCTTACTATTTTTAAAAAAAAGAGATAAACCTTTTTTTATTTTACTTCTCTTTTGGGTCACTGGAGTTTATTTATTAATGCACTCCTGTTAGCCAACGTCAGCAGATAGCAGACGTATTGTCGGGATCCACCCCGGCTGCCTAATTGACAGTTGGCTCTGCCCTTCAGCGCATAACTGAGAGCCAAAGCCAGCTGTGCCCACCACCTTCCCTCCCTTCTTCACCAGAGCTGGCTGGAGCTACAGACAGGAGAGGGGGAAACGAGGGAATCCCTATAGGGGCTGTAACTCACAGTTACTGATCTCTGCTGGAAGCAGACATCAAGAACTGACTTGTCAGCAGTCATGGGATTGGTCAACTCTTGGTCTTAGAAGCGAGGTTTGATAGCTGCAGTGTCCCCACGCTGGCTCTAAGTGTTGAGAATATACTTACTCTCCCCATAGTTCTCCTTTGAATAGCCAATCCACTACTGCCTTCTATCCTTCATTCATAAATTAGCGGTGGGCATAGTTACAGCCGTGCATGCAAGCTAAGATATAACTGAGAAGCTTCTGAACGAATGCACTTCCCATGATCTCAGACAACAATCAAGAGAACATTTATTTAGGAGTCCTCAGATTTGCATGCTTTTTCCAGTTCATTGACTCAAAGTATTAAGGCCACTGGATCAGCATGACAGCCATGGAACCATCATTTTCCAAGAGAAAGGTTAGTGTTGGCAGCCTACATATATCTGTCACTACAGGTTACAACCACCAGTACATATTTGGGCTGTGAAAGGAAACAATAGAACGTGCAAAGTCTATCTTTCTTTTTTTTTTTACTGTACTCTACAGGAATGTTGGACAGAAGATTTCAGAAAATATTTGTATTATTTATTAGTCAGGTATATTTATTAATACACGTTTACAAGGTAAATAACTAAATATTTAAAGCCACACCTTATAATGTAGGAGTGTGTTTGCACTCATGTTGTTGGTTTTCGTTTATTCACTCTTCCTGCCTGTATCCTCATGGGTACTTTCTGTTTTCCAGGTTGAATGTAATGACTATGACAGTGATGGATCACATGACCTCATCGGAATCTTCCAGACCACCATGTCTAAGCTAAAGGAAGCAAGTCGTTCAATGCCAGTAAGTGTTCCACAGAGACATCAAATATTGAAAGTCACTTTTAGGGTAGGGGTGTAAGTGGCTGCTAAAGGCTCACCTGAGTGCTATCCCACCTTTGTAAAATGCAGTGCAGAGGATGTCTGTAGGATATGGTCCTATTGAGATGCTTGCAACTGCTGTTCGGCGATTCACTTCAGCCTGGTACAGCTAATCTTAGCCGTACATCGGTAAAATCAGCCTTACATCGGCTGCCTTCGGTCAGCATGTTTGGCTGAGCTGAAGTGCAGAAGGAGTTCGACTGTGCCGATCCAACATCTGGATCGGCTGAGCCGAAGCTCTGACAGCTTACTCGCTGGCGTTCGCCCATATTCTCATAGTGGTCGAATGGCAGTGAGTGAATAGCCGAATGCCGGCTGAGCGGCATTTGGCTCAGCTATTCTGCTCTCTACCTCCGAGGTAGCGACCAGAATAGAAAAAAATGTAAATAAATGGGGGAAAAATGTTTGAAAAGTATTTTAAAAAATGTAAAAAAAACTACCAAAATTTTGAAAAAGTTAAAAAAATAATTTTTTAAAAATAAAAAAACGACCCACGCTCAGGTTTAACTTTATCATATCATACACATTGCTGTTCAATTGTTTGGAATGTGATCATTTTGATTAGCAAGTTAGCATAAAATCTTATCATTTGTTGTTGTTATTTAGCTTATTCATGTTTATGTTCTGTATTTTAAAGCTTACTGCACTATAGATTTAAATGATCAAAATACTTTCAGTATGCATCAAAGCAAAAAGTGTAAACGGTTCCTGTCTGCATGCACTAAGATGTAAAAATATTGTATTTTATGAAAACAAATGGCAATTGTTTATGATACTCAGTGCTTTAGCAAATGAAATGTCATTGATTTATGGTTTAGATACACTTCAGTAAAATTGAATTTTAGAATATAATAAAAATCTGCACATATTGCTAGGTGTAATGCAAGGCTCATGGCTGTGTTCAATGGATCATAAGCATCTAGTGCAAGTGAAGATCTTCAGTGCTGGGATGTCTTTATTACTGTTTGAATACACACTGCCTGACCAAAAAAAAAAAAGTTTCACTCTAATGTTTAGTTGGACCGCCTTTAGCTTTAATTGGCACACATTTGTGGCGGCATCGTTTCCATGTGCTTATGCAATCTTACATTTATTTCCATCTAGAGTTGCATTCATTTTTCACCATGATCTTGCAGTGATGATGGGAGAGTCAGACCATGGCGTAAAGTCTTTTCCAGCATCCCAAAGATTCTCAATGGGGTTAAGGTCTGGACTCTGTAGTGGCCAATCCATGTGTGAGAATGATGTCTCATGCTCCCTGAACCACTCTTTCACAATTTGAGCCCGATGAATCCTGCCATTGCCATTTTGGAATATGCCCAATGTGCCATCAGGGAAGAAAAATTCCATTGATAGAAAAACCTGATAATTCAGTATGTTCAGGGAGGCAGCTGACCTCGTTTTTCAGGGATATATTGCTGCTGAACCCAGACCTGATCAACTGAAGCAATCCCAGATCATAACAATGCCCCACAGGCTTAGGACTTTTTTTTTTGGCCAGGCAGGGTATAATGGGGCTTACTTGCATTCCAAATCTAGTGCAGGTAATCTGTAAATGCTAAGCAATGCGTTATCTTTCCTTTATGTATAGTGAATGCTAAATTATGTTATTTGTGTCCCATGTTTTAGACTGTCAATATCTAGCCTGTAACCCTCTACTGCTGTATACTATTCTTCTTGTCTGAAATATGCCCTCTGGTGTCCAATTATAGTCACAGCAATATAAAAGCAATGACAGATTTTACTGGCGGCTCCCTGGCACAGTGTGTTTGCTCTGAAAGTCATAAATTACTTCAGTTATTTTAATATATTTTTAAGGGCTCGTTCACACGACGTCTGGATTTTGTGTGGACCAGTTCCGTGCGCTCATGCACCCAAAATGTATCCCTACGTGTTTTATGGGCTACAGTTCTCATGTGCGCAGTCCGTTCCGGTCCAGACAGAGAAAATGCTGCATGTCACATTTTGGCCGGTCATAAACCGCACTGCAGCTAATATACTGACAGCCCCACTCCTCCCAAAAAAAAATGTTTTTTTGAAACTGGAACGTGTCAAAAACGCGTCAAAAACGCACAGCACCACGTCTGCAGATCTGCTCCAGATACGGACCAGATCTGGTCCGGACATCGTGTGAACAAGCCCCAAGGCTGGGCACACACCTTACAACCATCGCAAGACTTTTGTCTTGCGATGGTTGTAAGGTAATTAAAAAAACGTACAATCTGCCTATCTTGGACAGGCAGATCGTACTTGCGTACACCGGCCCGTCCGGCTTTTATCTTACGAACATGCTACACACCCGCCTAACATCGTACGATGCTCGGCGGGTTTTCGGACATGTTCCTAAGATAAAAGTTGTGCGACCTTACAGTAGTAGAGGTCGCACGGCTTCCACACACCTTACGATAATCGTACGTTGCGGGATTTCCCGCGATTATCGTACGATTATTGCAAGGTGTTGGCACCTTAACCCCTTCGTGACTGACGACGTACAGTGTACGTCGCCAGCACCGGGGCTGTTTAAACAGACTCCCGGCGACTTTTGCCGCCGGGACTCTGTTTAAACTTGTAGAGCCGACTGTCGGCTTTACAACAGAAGCGATTCTGGCGACTTACCTGTCGCCAGATCGCTTCTGTGTCCCGAAGAAGGGGCCGCCGCCGTGCTTCCCGGGAAGCTGGGGAGGAGGTCGAGGAACTTCTGTCCATCGATCCCC